CTTCATAAAATCTGAAAAAGATAAAGGCTGACCTAGAAGTTGTCATTTTTTTTTTGGGGGGGGGGGGTCATCCCTTCAAGTGTAGTAAATATATATAGTATGTAAAGTATTTTAAAAAGTGTGAAAAGGAAAATATGCTGTCCATGTGCAGCCGTCTGTGAGCAACCAACACCTGGACAGGGTTACAAAAGGTGCAGTGCTGTTCTAGAGAAGCTGTCAAGAAGGACAATAATTCAGAGGTGCAAAGCTATTCATGAGGAAAAACTGGTGATATTATAATATCTTAGGCCACCATTACAAAGGTAGGTGTTATAAAGAGGGACATGTTACATTTTATTTTTAACAAGTACTTTTGTTTTTAATGTTAATCCAGAAAGCCTTAAGTAAGAAATAAACTTCTCAGTCTCTGAAGTACAACAGTTCCTTGTCATGCCAAAGGTGAATGGGGTAGGATGCAGAATAAAAAGGCTAAAAGGTAGTGTTGCTATCTGAATATATCATAAATGTCATAGGTGTATTTGAATGGCAGTAAACTATGTAGCAGCAGAACTGGGTTTATTAAAATGACTAGCTATGGAAAAAATGCTTTATTTTTTGTTTACCAGGGGAACTTCTAGCTGAGTTCTAACTATAAAATTCTTAACAAAAATTTAATCTGCAGCTTAAAAAGAAAGAGAAACACTGCTGTGCTGTTTGCTATTCTAGCATTGTGGTCTTGAAAGGAGAACATAATGAATTATATTTCACTCATAAAAATATAGCCTGATAAAACACTTTCACGAATGAGCAATATACAGTACAAGATGGGTGTTACAAAAGCATCTGAGAAATGCAAAACTTCTAACTTTTGGTTTTGTTTATAAAACATTTAAGACCAGAGTTCCTACTGTCATGATAAACTGTAAATGCTTTAAATGTAGGTAAGAGGATAAGAAATCTCATTATCAGTAAGTACTGATTCTCTGTGTCTAGCAATTTACAGCAAATCTCTAATTATAAATATCTGCTTTCATGACCTCCTCTGTAGTACTCTGCTCATAAAAGATGTATGACTTGGAAAAAAAGCAGATGAAGTGATTAAAGATGAATAATAAGTTGCCTCATTACTGCTTAGTAAGTTAGTCTTTTATTCCTGAACTTAGTGTACCATCCTAACTTCCAACTACCAATCATATTTGGTTAATTATTTTTCATTAAGCCATTACGATTCACTGGGTATCTTCACTTGTTTTAAGAAATACGCACAGAAATTAATCAAATTAATTTGAATGTTTTATGTTAAATATGTTTTTACATTAATTGTTCATATATCACCTTTAATGTATGTACTGTATTTGTTTCAACTTAAGAATGTCAAATGTTAAAAGTGTAATTCTCTCTGTTTTTGTTTATAAAGTATAGGAATACAGCTCAGCAGTAGAAACAGAAAACTAGATAAGTTAACTATATAAGGCTTGGGAAAAAAAATGTTCTGAAAAAAAGGTAGTTTTTATCTAGAATGTCTTGTCTAGGCATCCTGTAGACCTTTGATAGATAACATAGACTGGTGAATATGAAGCTTTACACTTTCTACCAGTTTCTATCCAAAGAAATCTTAGTTTCATACTAAATTGATCACAAGCTATCTTCTGTTTAATCTTCATGAAAATGTTACAAGCTGATAATTAGGGCCCATTTCTTAACCTCTCAGTAAATGTCTTTATACTGTAACAATTATAATGTTATCAAAACAGACATCTGTGGTTCCAAAGGATTTTCCCCTGGTCTAACCAGAACAAACAGTCAAATATAACCAAAGTTCATATCAGATGATTAATGAAAGAGTGGAAAGCTCTCCTTATGTTTAACTGACTCTCGACTTAAATGTTCTGGATAGATTTAGACCCTGGAGAACAGCTGAGGTGCAGTACTTAATACATTAGTATATAATACTGAATCCTTTTATCTCAAGAGTCTGCTGCAAGAAAGAAGGAATTCCTTTTTGAAAGAGCTCCTCTTAATAGTTGCAGTACAGTAAAGAATTGTCAATAACCACATCTGAAAGCTGCATGAAGCATTTGGTGGCTGTAGCTGTAAGTTCATATACAGGATACCAAAAGTCAGCTTCACAGGTTGATATTGGACACTACAAAAACGTCACTTGGAATCATTGTACATGTCAGCAAACCAGAACAGAAGGCTATATTGCTCCACAAACCCTACATAAACACATTTGTTGTAACAGTTTGGTTTAAACAGGAAAATTCATGGATCACTCATGATATATGTAAAGATTTTGATAGAAATATCCTGGAGTTTTCCCCTGTCATAGTAAGAAAGCGATTGTAGAGGCTTTTGTGGAAAACAAGTGTTAATTCGTTACACATTTGAGACCTGCAATTCCGGAGGCCTGTGTTCAGGACCTGGCTGGAACCACGAGCACAATCAGCAAGGCGGCGGAGTCCCAAACTGTCCCCCGTTTGTCATATCTGAGTGCTCACAGAGTGAGTGCTGAAACAGATGGCCCTAGCTGTATGAACACAAATGCTGTAAACATGAGTGGCCAAATCAGGACAGAGTGGAGACACTATGGCAGGGAACAACGATTTTCTGTCCCGCTTTGGGGAAAAATGAAAAACATTTCATCTGTCCATCCAGCACATTTCACAAGCTTTTGCTGTACAACAAAGGGGGAAAAAACTTCAGTCAGGCAGCTGGTAATAGTAAAAGCATTACTGAAATACTGCACAATTCTGTGTAATCAGGGAATTCCTAAACTCATTGGATTTCTCAGGCATGAAGACAATGTTACTAAAAAGTTAAACTACTCAATAATTACCGGATACTCAGATGATACCTGAACATTTAACTAGTCCTTCAACAAGTCTAAACAAATATGTTTTTTCAAGAGGCAATAAGATGGAAGACTACTACATTTTCTTGTTTGAAACGAATCAAACTCCAAAAATAGAAACCTGTGATCTACAAAGGAGTGTTCTAAGGGATCCGTTTTGATAAGGGCAAATCTGTGAATCTGTTACCCATTCCTTTACATAATTAACATTGTAATTAGGCACCCTTGGCTTCACAATCAATAAACCAAGGCAGGGTAGTTAGACTAAACATTTAAGCCAATGTACTGGAAAATGTAAGCTTTAATGTTCCAGGACATCATACAATATAGATTTTTAAGTATCATATTGATTTATATTGGACCACTCTAAAAACATTTGTATTTTAAATAGAATACAATATTTTACCCAAAATAGAAATTATATTTTTGGATTAAAACTTTTTTTACACAACAGTGAAAACTAGCAAAGAGTACTTGGCATAATGTCACCATGATAAGCAAATACTGACCTTTCCTTAAACTCCTGTTAATTGCTTTGGTTAATTAGCTGCACTACATGTGGCATAATTCAAAGGATGACCTGCAATATATTTAATCTGCAGCCTGATCCACTTCCTTCCTATTAATACACATATGTTTCTCAGATATTTTCTGTCAATCTTATCAAACTCCCAACATGTTTATAGACATATTCACTATTTAAGCACCATCCAAACATTTCCATCTTTACCAATGTTTTCTTTTTCAAAAATAATGAAATTTTAAATTATTATACATTATTAAGTCAAATTTACTGATTTCAAAAGTGAAAGCAGCTTTTTTAAATCTAAGGATAAGTGTGTAACATAAAATGTATATAATTTAGCATGTTTACACTATAATTGTAAAGAAGTAGAAAGAAGACCTTTGGAAATGCTAAAATGCTGAAAAGAGAAGAAAACAAACACAAAGAAGAAGGCTCCACAGCCAAAACATTGTGTTTCTTTTCTTATTTTTTCAACATGAAATAAAGCTTTACTTTTACATATGAAGCCTACACATGCTGATGCAGCTACCTACCTGAACTACAAAAGCTATTTTTTATATAAAAAATTTTGGTATGTATGTCACAGTTCCTGGGTTCAAACCTATCTTTGTCTATGTGAAGTTTGCATGTTCTCCCCCATTACAGATTTATTTTCTCTGAGTATTCACTCACAGTTCAAAGCCATGCCCTTTAGGCTAACTGTCATCTCTAAATTGCCCTTTTGTAATTGTGTGTGAATAAATACACACGTTCCCTGTATTGAACTCTTGACTATCAAAGGTGAAGTGCAGGGTTAGACTCCAGCTCAATATGTTCCTTAAACACAGGGCTGTCCACTCCTCATTCTGTAAGGCTTCTCCCAGCTCGTTTTCTAAGTCTCTTTAAAGTAGCAGCAACTGAAGAGCTGGGAGAAGCTGTCCAAAGCAGTCCAATTATGCCAATAATTGCTGCAGAAAACCTGCAGACACTTCTGCTGTAAAGGTAAAGCAGTTATTGAAAATGAATGGATGGAAAGTTTCATACAAGCCTGCCAATCACAAGATAAAATTGCTAAGCTCACCAAAATCAGACCTTTCTCAAGTGGGTTTGTAAAAGATAACAAGGTTCTTCAAAGATTGATGTAGCTATTACTAACTATTATAACAGGTAGATTGTCACTATTTTGCCATAATACATCTGACTTTATATGTGTTAAATGTACTATCCAGCAGGTGGCAGATAATAATACAAGACATGTCATCAGCACAGGGTTAGCAAGGAAATCTGGATGCGGGGTTGAGGGTTGTACATGCAAACGATTGGCAGTATGCTAATTGAAAGTAAGACTTTTACTTATCTGTTTCCATATTGTCTGCATAAAGCTTAAATGTTAAATTTAAAAACCGTAGTGTCAGAGCAGAGATACTATTTTCTCTAATATCCAATGACAACCAAAGCAAAATGGCATAGCTAATTTTAGAACAATCTCATTTTAACAAAAGCTTGCCCAATGGGTTTGATGCAGCATGAATAACCAATAATGAAGCCCTTCCAGCATCTTCTCCAAATGCACAGCTTTTTTTTTCTGAGACCACGCAGCAGCAGAAACGGAACTAAGCTCATTCTCCATACACCAAACATCAAAGGGAAAAAAGTTCTCACCTTAAAAAGTCTCAGTATGTTAGCAACCATTATTGACACTGAACTGGCAGAAGCACCAATTACTCCTATGATCTTGTCGGGTTTGGTGAAAATAGGAGGATCCCCATTGGCACACCTTACATCAGATGCGTCTTTCTCAATCAGCGCTTGCACAAATGTCAAGGACTGCTCCAGAGCATAAGTGTCCCTGGAGCAGGTGTCTAGTATCCGGACACCCAGTGTGACATTAGGAAGCAGGTCGGGATCCTTATTGATCTGGTCAATGGCATAAAGCATAGCCTCCAGTCTATGGATCCCCTTTTCTTTTTTTAACTCTCCACAGGCAACTCCCCGCTCTCCTCTAGCATGAACAGGGAACAGTCCTCCTAAGATGATATCACCTTCCAGACGAATGGAGTGGGCATGTTCCTGGGCTTCTGTCTTCTGCATGGATGTGAGCAGCCAGCAGCACTTGGCTGTGAGAAGGAAGAAGCAGTGGCAGGAGACAGATCTCTTCTTTTCCTTTGCCATAATTACTTAATATATTGCTCGGGTCAAAGTGGTGAAGGCTCTTGCTATTAGAATAGGTGACGGAGCATCTGAAGGTGCACAACATGAACGCAGTCATCAGTGCCCGTCTCCCTATCAGTGTGGAGCCATGGAGCTGATGCCAAAATCAATGCTGTCCAAAGGAGGATGGCTGTCGATTTTTATCACATCTCTGCCACATGTGCCTTGCATTTCGGAAAAAAAAAAGAACAAAAGCAAGATGAAGCCTGGGAGTTGCTGAAGAGGCTGTGCAGAGGAAAGCTGCTGTGTCTCAATATAAATGTGCAACAATTATCCTCTTGGATTTCACATGCATTTGAGGCACCTGCCAGGGAGACAGTGAATAAAAAAAGTTTCAATATTATTTGTCAGTTTAAAAAATAATATTTTTTATATTATTACAGTCTAACATCTTGCCCAGAAAATCTTATGGCCAAACATGCACCCATGTTGGTTTGTTTTCCAGTCCTTTTGGGGACTTCCTATTGAGTCTCATTTTATTTGTATTTAATATTCTGTACTCCAGCAAAAAGAAACTCCACACAGAGTGAATATAGATCCGATACATTTAGAAGAAGCAGTTAAGTTGAAAAAGCAAGACAATCACCTATTTGTAATACTAAACAAAGTTTATTAAAATATTCAATTAAAAAAACAACTGATGTACTGTAGCTGATCTAGTGTTAACAAGTTTATATTATTACAAAACACTTAAGTTTCACAATTATGTTTAACTGCACATTTTGCTAAGATACAAAGAATCCTTTATTCATTAATATTCATTAATGTTTAGATACTCATATTACTTGTCCCATATTTTAAACACTGTTGTGAGATACAGCATCTGGTTCTAACTAATTCTAATGTAGCTCAAATATGCCTCTGCAAAATTAGATGTTTACTCAGCCACCCACAGGCAACGAGACTGTCTCTGTGGTCTAAAAGTACAGGTTTATTACCGCAACAACATCAAATGCACCACAGTTATATGCCTTACAGATGCAGCTTAACATATTATGCAGTCAGAAAGATAGCACGCCTAGTGTGGTTTCACAAATCTTGAAAAAAAAAATTTTTTACTGATAACATCTTTACTGCAGCTTTATGATGGAGGCAAATGACATACCTATCATTAATAAATATATCAGTTGTACGTTTACTGCTCCAATATTTGCTATAACACACGATTGTTTACACTAAATGTATTTGTTGTTTCTCTTACAGATTATTATTTTTGTTCTGTGTTGGTTTACTAAATACGAATAATGGAAAAGTAAAATACAGGAAGATATGAGGGTTTCCCATTGTGTTATTTTTTCACAAGCTAAAAGGCACAATATAAGATTATTCTCCATTTAAAATGCTTCCCACGTCTGCAGTATTGCACATTACTGTTTCTCAGAACTTGAAAAAAATGTTTGCTTTGCACCAACTTAAGGGAAGGTTTTGAATGCTAACCTATTCTCTTGCTACCTCACACTATTTTCATTTGTTCGTGAAATAATAAAGCCCAGTCATCAATTAAGGGAATATATACAAGTGCAATTACCTCCCATTCTATTCCAGTGTAACATTATGACTCATACGCTCATTTTCAACCTTCACAGTTCTAGAAAATTAGAGGAAATCGGTATTATCAACTGTTCCTGTACCCACGACATAAATGTCTGACCTCTGCATGAGCATTTACAGCATGTCACACCCTAGATGAGGCTTAAAGAGAACTGGTGCACCAAACCCTGATGCTTTTGTTTCATCAACTCTGTTTTGGCTCCAGTGTTTTGCATTGCATTGTCATCTGTGTGTCAGTCCTGCTCATAATAGTGTTTGTTTTGAGGCTATCCCAAAAAAATGTACCAAGAATAATGAACTATTCACACATAATGCATTTATTGTAGGACATCTTGTAGTGCCCTGTTCATCATGAAAATAAAAATGAAAACCACTCACCTTCATTATAGATTGAAAAGGCAATGAAGTAAATACACAAATACAAGAAAAAGGTCCATGATTATCCTACAATATTCACATGTAAATGAATATACACATAAATTATATATTGGTAATGATATTTCTACTGTGTGTATATGACATATAGAAATGCAATTCAAAATGCATTAAATTATCACATCTACAGTTATAAAGTACCATTTATAATATTTTTGTGGACTTTATGTAGTATTAATATCCATTCCAGTTGCTATCATATCAATGAATACAATCACATTGCATTTTGAATTCTCAAACTAAATACACAAAGTGTATGATTATAACTTTATTGTAAAGTTCATTCTTTTGATAACAGCTTTACTTGTTAATATACAAAGATATTGTTTGTTAATGTCAGAAACTGCATCATAATGTGACATATTCCTCTTGTCCCTCTCAGGCTAGCCAAAAAAACTAACTAGAAAAGATTTTGTGGGTATCTGACCAGGTATGTGTTTAAAGGCCCTATTGAAGAATAGTGATGACTATACCTGGTAATAAACATATTTATTTTTAGCTGCTATTTAATTGATACATTTATAAAAGAATCCATGGGTAATCTTTTATAGATTGTCGTCTTTATGGTGAAATATTCAAATATGAAAGGTATTTTAGCAAGCGTATTGAGGATTAAAACTATCATTTGCCTAAAAGCAATGTAGCTGTTCAAAAAAGATCAATTCCTATTATATATATATATTATGTAACGTTAATATACAGTATGTGTATTTTTTCAGGTCGTGTTTTAAAAGGAAGTCCATATCCAAAAGTAGATGCGATTCGTTTGTTGTGGTACAGGCATAGTCAGTTTAAACATTGTCCCATTACAATTACCATTAACACATGCATTATTTAGTTAGGTTTATATAATTGCTATGTATTTTTCTTCGCAGTAATGAAAAGTACTTGCAGTTTACCAGGACCGTAAGCAGATAATATTTTATCTTATTACTACTACTAGCTTTACGGATGTCTGATGAATGTTTTTAGTCATGCCGAAGAATTCCTAAGGACTAGCCTTCAGTAAAGCGTTTACTAATAGCGTTTGAGTGAGTGTACAACATAATAGTTCTTTTCACCACACGGAAAACTAGGTTTAAAGTGAAAGCATTACAGTTTAATAAGTAAATTCGATTTCTGATACGTGTTGCAGGTAGTCGGTACAAGTGTTATCCCGCAGCACAACACGCACATAGGCATCCATGTATCCGTCTTCTAACACATAGCCCAGCACTACATGATTACTGTATTTTCTCGTTAAGCGAGAAATGGAATTCCAGGAGGACAGAACTGGATTTCACAACTTAGCTATCCCTACCAGAAAGTGAGATAGTTCTACACACTTCCCAAAAGACATTTACACTGGCAAAATAAGTTATTTCCAGTTCTTCTTTTAATTTACACGAATTGGTATGTGTCAAGCAGAAACATCGTCTGTCGATTCTATTACATTTTCTTCAGTGGGACAACTCTCTAGGGATCTCCTTGCTGTTTTCTGGAACTAATAGCTTTTGTCTATCCTTTGTTGAGGAAAAAAACCGATTTATTTTTTCCATCTTCTCAGGACTGAAAGCATTAAATGTTGCTGTTAATGATCTTATTATGTCAGATCGGAAAACAGAAAAAACAGAAATGTACCAAGACATATAGTGTATATTTTAAATCTCATAGTCACCGAGCAACAAATTGGTAAATAAACAATATTTGAATAATTTAGTAAATTTACAAAGAATTGACTAAGCAAAATCATGTCAAATATTGCCGTAATACCTGCGCTTGAGGTATACAGTAGGTATCATTTCCTACAGTACATACAATTCTATAGCATCTTAATATAATATGTTAAGTGAAAGCTGCACAACATCTACAATTTACTGTTATTAATTTTCATATTTTGCAAAGCCTTTCCGTAGGTTCCTAAAACATAAAAATAGGCATGTAGCCTACAAGTAGCCTATACTGAAGCGCAGGACACTGCTAATTGTATTCCAAAAAGCAGCTGTTGTTTGGTAACAAGAACACAGGGCTAACAATTTAAATTATGGTGATTGTGATTGCTGCATATTAATATGTATATATACGATATATACATTAGCGTAGCACGTTTGAATAGTACTTAACAGGAATTAAAGTTAATAGAAGTCAGTTTCCCTGTTCAGGTATCTTTCGTACAACAGCATAAGATACAAACCAGGTGCCTGATAAATGCGGAAAATGAGATTATAAGCGTTTTAGTCAAACGTTGTTTTGTGGAAAAAATCATAGTCCTCTTTAATTCAACTTCCTTGCGGACTCCAGTCCACTTTCATACACAGAACATAAGAAAAACAGTGCAATTGCCACAGGCTCCCTTCATTCATCCAGTTCGCCTTGAACCAACTGTTTGGCATCCGGACAGATTGCCGTTTTTCTTCCTTGATTTAAGAGTATTTTTCCAGGTATGTTTAATGAAATCTTTAGCCCATCAACAATTATCTCAAATACGCGACTGTCACTGGTTAAAACAGTTATGCCTATTCAGCAGATAATCTTGTGTGAAGTCGTTTCACACGAAGGATAAAAGAGATGCGATTAAATTAATGCAGTTAATCAGATCAAATTAAAACATCCAAAACGAGATCTAAAGGGCATACATAATTCGCAAAGCAAACAAAAAATAAATAAAACATGAAACTTGATTGTAAATTCACCTGATATTCCGTGCTGTACTCCGGGTTCCTCGCGCTTTTTCTGCTCTCTTGGAGCTGCTCAAGTAACTGTTCTTGGTGCTGAAAGGGACAGCGATTCGAGAAAGCAGGAGCGCGTCTCTTCCAAGTGAATAACAAAATACTCCCACCGGCAGTGATTGGTCTCCCAACTCTCTTACTAATCCACCTCGGCTGCTTATCAGCTATTCAATCAGTCCGCAGGCAAGAAAGGTTCCTTTCTCCTATTATCTTGCATAACACAGGTTGTGTAGCGTCAAAGAAGCACATTTCAGAATGCATAATTGTCTAATTTACCAAAAGGAACGCTTCGGACATTAATAACCCTCTACACATCTGAAGGCATTTGCTCCCCAGTCATGAACATGATGTGTTCTCTGCTTACCGTCTGTGTCGACTAAACCATAAGAGCAATTATTAATTGCTAATAGGTATTGTGTCCGCCAAAGAGCAAAACGTCAGTATTTGACATCCTCTGGAATATTTCGCAAGAAAGACGCGAAATTCAAAGCACATGAAACGAAACGTGGCACCATGAATCTGGAGTGTCTCTTGTAATAGCCGTCTAGAACTGGGCTCATCACAAAGTTTTTAAACCCAAACTACAGCTGTTATGAAAGTGAATTTACATGAAGGATGTGAAACCTAAAAAAGATCAGATATGCAGTCCAATCCAAAGCTTCTAAAATGAAGGATTTATTCATTCTCAGGGCTGCATAACCTCACCTCTTTACAAGTCTGATGTTTGGGAAATGAGTATGCGCTAAATGTAAGCGCTAAGCTGCATAAGATGTTTTGCAGAAGCATTTCGTTATAATTATGACCCAATCAACTTATTTTTACTTTTATTTTCAATGCCTGTTCATTTTTATATTAAAAAACTCCAATAAAGATCTAGATTTCTTGGACTTCAAAATAACAAGGACAATTCAATTTCTTGATTTCTCTCCAGAGACAAATTTGTATTCGTGCATCGGCCAATTGAATACCTGTTGTATTTCAATTATAAATGCCAAATATTTATTTAGAAAGTACAGAAGACAATTTCTTTAAAAGGTACGACGTGTAATTGCTAGGACCCATGATATAAAGGACAGCAAACCACTTCCATCTAGTGGTCAGGAAATGCAATTTACAGTGCCCAACTGAATTGGCTACACGCTTTTTGTTCAGAGATTGATCGGCCCCCATAAACGACAATTTCTTCAATACTTTTAACACAGATGTAAACTATTTGTGAAAGCTTAAATAATGCCCTTGTTTAAACATAAGGAACAGGCAAAATGTGATTCCTAAAAGCTAAAGAGTACTTATGATAATTTGAAAGTACTGTCATTATGATGTCAGATGGCTCCTTTACTATGCAGTATCTACACATTGTCTTAATATGATATGAAAATAACAGAACTACCCAACAATAAAATGTATATTATAATGTACTCATCTTTCACATGAATCTCATGAGCACAAATACACATTGCTTAGCTGTAAATAAAAAATAACAGCTTTAACTTTGCTGTCCCAATACCTGTATACAACATATTTATCCTCATGTTTCTACAAACTGAGGTTAATACTTGGGATGTACATTTCCTGTAAGAAAAAAAAATAACAATTAGATTACTATACAATATACAAATTCGCAGTATTCAGAATTTCCTTTATAACAGAATTGTATATTCCTTATACAGAAAAATGAGGAAATTGTTTTGCTCCCAGTGGAAATGTGAAGTCACATGTAAGATTAAAAATCACACGATTACCTACTGTACACCGTTTTCTAGAAACTAATCTCAAAATAAAGGCAGTGCAGTAGACTTAAACTGATTAAAGTGTTCCTTAATTTGGGAAAAAAGGAATTGCACATCTTCACTATTCATAAGCTTCAGGTTAACAAAACATTTACAAATGTTTTTTCCAAAGCATTTATTTCATGGAGTGACTTTTCAAGGTATGCATGGATTTTCAAAATGCTCAGTACCACTACTGTATATTCATTGAAGTGTATTATATTGAATATACATCCTTTATTCCAGCATGGTGGCACAGTGGTTAGCAGCACTCGGGCACTGGATTCAATTATGGACCTGGGGTGCTATCTGCATGGAGGTTTTTTAAATTTTATTCCAATGTTCATGTGGGATTCATTTGGGTCCTCTGTTTTTATTCCGTGAAGTCCAAAGACATACTGGTGGGTTAATGGGCTTCTGGGAAACATGATCCTGGTGTGAATGTGTCTGCATATCATGTCTGTGATGGACTGGTGTCTAATACAGGGTGTACCCCGCCTTGCACCAGTAGCTGGCTGGGATAGATTCCGCTTTGGAAGAAGTGGTTAGAAAATGGATGGATGAATGGATAGATTACGTCTTTACAAATGGTTTTGTTCTTCATGTTTTTTCAAGAAAGGTTTTTAAAAGCTTTAAAAACTTTTAAAAATACTATTCAGAGATCAGTTTGATTTGAGAAGCTACAGAAAAAAGAAGGATCTATAGCTAACACGTATTATCAATGGTATTGAAGTCCTGTGTACAGCAAATTCATAAAACTGACTGGAATAAAAAGAAAAGGCTGTTTCTGCAGTAGAAAGCAAGACTAAATCTAGCACACTACTGCAATACTACTGTCTGCACCTAACAACTCTTAATTACTTAATACAATGCAAAAAACAATTTAGTTTTAAAAATAATAAACATTATATATAGAACTATAAAAGACATCACTCTTGAGAAGGTGGCTTAAGGGATCTGAAAACAAAAACCAATAAAGTCAATACTGGACAGTGCAGAACACTACTGCAGAGGCCTTGTAGCTTTTATAGCACAACATACTCTTCCTCCCCTCTGTTATCAAACTCCCAACCACCATTCACCATTGGAACCCCTTCATATCCCCTTTCATTACCGATTACCCCCCATGTGAGAATGTGACCTTAACCACCACTATTAAGCGCATGAATTAACTAATTATCAAGTACACTGTCTTTTTATAAATAATACACGCCTTAATAACCATTAGCAGCAGGTCACAGTTTCCTCAAAGACCAGCCTGCCACAAGTGCCTTTAAAAATAATCATCTCAAAGAGCTTTACAATACAAAAAAATGCATTACACATTAAAATAAATTTGCAAAGCTAAAGAAATACAGTAGACAGTAGACAAAGGACATAAAAAACCTAAAAAGCCTTTTAGAATAATGTTTTTAGCCTAGGTCTAAAAGCACACAATGTGGCAGAGTCTCAGAAATCTTTTGGGATATTGTTTGAGCTCCAGACCACAGCAACAAAAGCAACAAAAGAAACTGTCACCCACAGAGTGCAGACGAACAATGAATACACATAATAAACCAGAGTCAACTGAGCATGCAGAGAAGTAAACAACATGGTGGCTATATAATAGGGAGCTAAGTCAAATAGCTTCGTGAATATAAGCAACTCAACTTCATGGAGGAAGCCAGTGCAAGGACTCCAAGACAGGAGCAATGTGATCAACTGTCAGTTTTCTAGATGCTAAATTCTAAACACATCGCAACTTCTTGAATGTAGTTCTAGAGAGGCATTAAAATAACCAAATCTAGAAAAAATGTGAATCAATTTCTGCTACAGATACAGTGTCAAATGTCAATACAAGATGAAAATCAGACTCAAAACATCAGTGACATCAATACACAAGATAACAGCATTGTTTTGCACAACAGAAGAATGCAAAACATTCTGTTATCCAAAACGTATACTTTATATCAGAAATGTGATCGGAGAATCCTTAAACAGCTGCCCAGGTATCACATATAGAATATAAATAAATTAGACTGTAAAAAAACAGATCTGCATTGATATGGTAATTCAGACCATGTAATTTTAGTATTTAAGGGAAAACAAATACTATAAATACCAAATATGAAAGGCACAGTATTTAGCTCTGCAAAAAAAATCAGGTGAAACCAATTCAACCTCATGACTAAACCACCTAGAGAAATAACATTGGTGCTCAGAAAAGATTTAAACAACTTAATGTAAATGTCAGATGTTAACCAATCTATCATAATAAATAGAATTCCATTAATTTCAGCACTGAATGCAGCACTGAGATCTATGATCATATAATGCACTAAATCAGACACCATGAGGAGATCATTAACAGCTTTAACAGTAGTGGCTTCAGTGGCATGTGACTCTCAAAAGCCAGATTGCCTGCTGCAGTGCAACAATCCATATTAATATTGTTGCAAGAAAAAGTTAAGACAGCCTAAAAATGTTCAGATTATCCTAATCCATTTGAAGTTTTATCAATTGGCATAACTGCATCTGTTTAAAAATGCACCACCCTAGAGCTCAAGGAGTCATTGTGTTAAGCACTAAGGGTCAAAGGACAGAGAAACAGGACCCAAATAAAATGTAGGGAATGAGAGTCTGACAAACAGGAAGAGGGTTTCACATGTGACACCCATTCAGCAAAGCAAAGAATGCAGGAGTGAGCTGTGTCGTGTGTGCAAGAAGAGGAAACTAACTACTAGCAAGCAGTGATGAAAAAACTCAATTTAATTTCTTTTTAATCACGATTTAGAAACAAACAAAATGTGCTAAAATGAAATTAAGCCTTTGGTGTGTCTGTTTTCAACAGAACATAGCTTAGGACCTACCGCTGAAATGTATGATTTAACAACTGCAGTTCTTTAAGTGAAAAGACTTTGTATTTTAAGTCTTCCTGAAAGGTGTGAGATTGTATCTGGAAATTCAGATTTTTTTTTTAGGATGCATTTCAATATCTGAATAATGTACATAAATGTGAAATCAGTAATCCATTTCACCAACATCTGAAATACAATTGGCTTTCTAAAGCAATTATTACACTTAGTGTATGCAATCTTGTGAAATAAATACCAAAGTTCAAATATTGCAATCTTTATTTACCTTTTGAACTCTGGTTTTGAATCCATTCATGAAAACTTGTACCACTGACACTTGGCCACTGAACTGCAAATATGTCCTGTAATGTCAGGACTTCTTCTTTACATTTTATATGCTAGCAGATACGGAACATTCATATGTCCACATACAGTATGTTGAGTGCTCAATTTAGTTACAAGCCCTTAAGAATGTAGTCCACACAGTTAATTTCAATATGTAAGCATAGAAACACAGCTTCAAACCTTTAGTTTATTATTGATACATAGTGCATTTATCCATCATCATACATTCATTTGAAGAATTACAAGAGTATCTACCTTCTTTTTTTCCTATTCATTGCATTGATTTAGTGCAAAGCACTAGGAAGACTACCATTACCTTGTTACATGAAGAAGACCCAAGTTGTTTTAATTGCAAGCTGATGCAGCAGATAGTAAAATAATTGACATAATAATAAATTACTGGTGGCTGGAGTAGTCAAATTCTAAGACTAAGATAAATGTTCAATTTTAAAGGCTTTATTGTTATAAATGATGTGCTTTTAGTCAATGTTGTTTACAATTACTGTTTTTGTGTACTATATAATCATCCTTCTTAAACATAAGGGCACCAAAAACACTGAATACCATATGGCACAAATGAGATTTACAAAATTATTAAACAGACTGGCTCTCACATTGTGAAGGTGCTACTTTATATAATGTTTCACATGAATCTGAAACTAATTTATCTTGCACCCAAATGCCTGCTTCACAATACAAGACAAATCATCTAACAATCCTTAAACCAGGTTGTTTGTCTTACCTTAACTGTGAACATTCCATATGTTCCTTTAAGCACATGTTATTTAGAATACTTTCAACATCCTTTTCCTTGTCAAACTCGACTTTAAGATTTGTAGACTTGCTTCTCAAAGGATTGTCTTAAGGCTAGTAATAACACACGTTTGCGATCTGTGTAGTGTGAACCAGGCTTAAATATGAACACACATGTGCTCCTTTTATGAAAGAAAAAAATCACAGTTCATCCTGTTAAAATTTCTATTACACTCTATGGAGTGAATTATAGTACCCTTTTCAAAAATGCAAATGTGCCCTTCGCTATCCAACAATCAAAGAGCAAGATACATACAAAACATACAAAATGAAAATTAGAATGTGACATTCTAGTTAATAAAAATAATCCCTATGATTTAAAGAAACCAAGTAAGACCACCTGAGGGGATTTGCCATCCTAAAGAGCAGTGCATTTATTTGTCTTTTATGTTTGTTGGTGTGTGTGTGTTAAACCATGAGTCATTTCACAGGCAACCTAAAAAAGTTACAGCTTTCAATACAGCACCGCCATTCAAGGGGGAATTTGTTAAGGGGTCTGACATGAAGTTTGGTTTTTCTCCCTGGTTTCTTCAGGGATGTTTAACAATCCAAAATGAGTAGCATTTCTGAACAGTTACAGAATTAATATACCTTCAAACCAGGATTCTTTTCAACATGTTCAGGTGGGTAGCTGCATCTGCATACGCAGGCTGCAGTGGAACAATAGGTTTATTCCATGCTGAAAAGAGAAGAAGTCTCCACAGCTGAAATGTTGTGTTTTCTTTCTTCTCTTTTCAGCATGGAATAAACCTATTACTTCTTTTCAACATTTCTATCATACCTGGAAATCCATATTTCAGCAGTAAAATATTGAACACAAAGATCTTACTAACAATCACATTTAGCAAAACTATTTACAGAACATCATGTACTAATGCAGAAATAACTGTATACTTATAAAATATAAATTCTTAGAACTGAAAGCTGCCAACTCACATACTTCATTAAAATGACTAGAAGAAATGATGCCATTAACACTCTGCAAAGTAAAACCTATTTCTTTCAAAATAATACTTTCTGTTAAAAAATAATTATTTTATTTTTACATTTAAACATGTCCATATGGTGTCTCAAAGAGAAACAGGACAAACATCCAGCTCAAATTTAATTATCTTAACCAACAGTGGATATGACTACTGTTTTTGAAGTTATACATCCACAGAAACTACTCAACCCATCTCCTATTATCGCTATTATTAAAAGGGTCAAAATCTACCTGGCGCTAACTGAAGTGTACAACTATTAATCCATCACTTTTCACATTAGTAGAAATGAATACAAGGAGTGTAATATATAGGAGCCTCCAAATGGTGTACGTATATTCACAATAACGTGACACTGAGTATTTACAGTAGCTTCTGTGCTGAGCCTTCTTTAATACCCAAGGAGAATCAAGGTGACTTGCAAAAGTGTCTATAAACTCAGATAACTAAAAAATGATTCAATTAAATTTAGAACTTTGATTTACAGTTTTATTTTTAATAAATATAGAGGGTATGAATACATGTGCATGTAAAATGTGATGGACATCTGTATTTACCTAGAAAACTATATTTTTGGGTTTAGCAGCGGTATGAAGTTCATTTGGAGGCTGCTATATATACAAATCACAGAATAAGCCAGTCTTAGATGTTATCTTCTTCTCCCCATATTTGAAAAAGGAGTAAAGACAAATGACTGTTCATTATAGAAAATGCCACCAAAGGCATCAACTGAGTTTTCATTTTACATTACTAGTAATACACCAATTCATTGTTCAATTGTTTTACAGAACTGTGTTTACAACAGATCAAAAGCAGAATACCGTGGTTTTCTAATCTTAAGTGTAAATTTCCCATATATCTGTTGTTACTGAAAGTGGAATGCACATAAAATGATTATAAGTAAAGTAGTTTAAGATCTTTGGAGAAGAGCAAATGGTTTTGTTGCAAATACAGTCACCTGTGAGGAAACAAGTTCAGCAGAACTGAATTCGGTAAAATGTTACATGCTAAACAAATGCAATGTGAACACTTATCATTGTGTAAGTTATTTTAAGGTTCAATTGAAAATTAATTTAATTAAAATATCCTAACTTACATATGTTTTCACTGAAAATTTTAATTATATAAACCAGTCCTTGGCACGGTCCAACAGTTACAAGACTTAGTTATTCCTAACCTAAAACAGCAGTATACAAGTGTAAGTGTGACCCCACGCATAGTGCAATAAGTCTTTGAAACAGTATCTGCACATAGGCCTGTAAATCTCCTTCATTGATATCTTTATATTGCAAAGCAAAACTCCACATGATGAATTCTGTTAGTACACACAAAATCCTTCCTTTATGCTTCCCAGGTTCCAGTCAAGGAATCTTCTGCAGCATCTTTAGTGGTTTTCCCATCTGATATATTTCATTTCAACAATTAAAACTCCAGTGCAAGTATTCTGTACATCATTGGGAGGTATCTGGGGAGAAAAGGTAGACAGCAACAGCTGTTAAATTATACACTTGCGTCAATTAAGGATTTGTGTGAATGCATTGTTTTGTAACATATGCTCAAAGGATACTCTTGTACTTAGCTTTGTGTTTGGGGAGTATTTAACTATCTTTCAGAAAACTTTGACTCCTCTCTAGCACAGTTTTACCCAAATGGAAAGAGAGGTAGATCAAAGCATATACAAAGGGTTTTATAAGCTTTCTTCACTTTATTAATTCTAAAAAAGTATTTTTGTTTACTCAAATACCAAATTAGGAAGCAAGGTCTTTTCATTCAAGTCAAACATAACTGAAATATTTCCAAATGTGCTTTACTTCCGTTTCCAAGTAGGTTATATTCAACATCATTTAAAAAAGATCTTGTGCAGTTAAATAAAATGTTTCAGGTGGGTAGCTGTGTCAGCATGCGTAGGCTGCAAAGGAACAAGTAATAGGTTCATTCCATGCTGAAAAGAGAAGAAAAAACACCTGAATATTAGGAATTAATAGTGAGCACCCTATGCAGAAAACCAGGGCAAACTCCAAAAGGCGTAGTCAAAAGGACAATCCGAGGTCCAAAAGCCGTAGGTCAACTAGCCAGTGCAAAAGTACAAATGACGTACTGTAGGCGGAGAACAAACCAGGATCAGGAAGTCAAAAACCAAGTAGTAAATAACAATGAGACTGGGAGTAGTTCTAGCCAGGACAGCCCTTATACTGAGCACCGGGAGGAGTGTGAAGCAGCATTAAATAGGCTGGGGGAAAGGGCTAATTGGGAACTGTGCTGGAATGTGAGGTGGAATGCAGATTCCTCCGGGGGCGTGGCATAACACTGAAGAAGGCTCCACAGCTGAAACGTTGTGTTTTCTTTCTTCTCTTTTCAGCATGGAATAAACCTATAACTTGTTCCTTCGCAGTTAAATAAAATGCCTAAGTTAGGATTTACATTAGTTATTAGTTAAAGTTCAGACTATTACTCAATTGTAATAAATCAGAGTTTGAATCATTTGCATGCCTTGACATTCCCTAATGCCCATCTTTTGACAAGTTTCATGCTAGTTCCCCACACAGCCTCTGTTTTGTAGCAGGCAGCACTGCTCAAATCGATCAATCACAGAGCCCTGGTTTAACAAAAGCACTCCATACTAAAGTGCATACAGAAAGAGAGCTCCAGTATCACCATTATTTCAAAGGCGCAAGAAAGTAAAAAGATTTCAGGATTTTATGCGACCGTGTAAAGTATGCCAAAGATACTTCAGAAATCTGAAAACAAAGCCTGTACTGCTTCAATCTTGAAAACCCTCTGTAAAACATGAAGAAAAATGAACAAAAGTAAAAAGTGAAATTTTAGATAAGATCACTTTATTGGCCATATACAATTTCTTGTACTAGGAATTTGTCTTTTCGCAAACCCCAACTTGCTCTCCATGAGACACACAGACAGGGGAAGAAGCTTGGGGTCAGCCATTTATACAGAACCCCTGGAGCAGTTGGGGTAAAGGGCCTTGCTCAGGGGCCCAAAGGACTAGGATTCCTCTGCCAGTCACAGGATTTGAACCAGGAACCTTCCAGCCACAGATGCAGATCCTTAGCCACAGAGCCACCACAGCCCACACCCAGTATAATCTTCAAAGGATTCATAGAAGACAACCAATTTAATATTACATATATTTTCTTTAGGTTCTAGATCCACAAATGATACAAAAGGACTTTGATTGTTTATTTTTTTCAAAAAATTACATTCTGGTGGGAATTTTAAATGATTTCAAATGTAACATGCAGTTGTCATTTCAGAAGCTAAGGATGCTTGCTTTTCCTGAAAGGACCTAGGAAAGTATCCTTGACATGGCCATCTGTTCATTGATCAAGGAAGCATTACAGGAAAAAAAAAAAAAATTTATTACAGTGTAACTAGTGATGTGTACAGATTGGAACCCTGTTGTGTTCATTCTTTTTCTTTCTTTCTACTGAATATTTTTCTAAGTAGCTGTGTAATTAGATTCCATCTGTGTTAGAGGTCTATAGGGCAGATTAATACCTTTTTGGAACACAAATGTAATCTTTCGATGACCCACAAAAGCAAGAAAATGTGTTTAATATTGAATTGAATATATGAACACTTTAAGATCGTGGCATTTAATGTTTCCTGTTTGCTATTGAAATTTCCAGGGTTTTTTTTTTTCCATTCAGTCTAAAATGTAATAAAACACAACAGAATAAACTCGATTTTCAAAAACTCTGGACTAATACTGCAAATGTTACAGCAAATCCAGTCAGTTCCAAATAACAAAGGTAATATAATGAACTGTTTATTATTAAAAATATTCCTGTCTACATTATATAAGTATACATTGTAGAAATTATATAAAATTTTTTTTAATACAAAAAGAAGAAAAACAATTAATTTGTTTAGCTGTTTTTCTTCTTTTTGTATTAAAGAACTGCAATCCCAATTTCTCAGACAGGTTATTAAATCTTGTAACAAAATACATTAATTGACAGTATCGCAACATTTTACAAATTCTTAATTAAGCACAAAATGATGAACTTTGAGAAAGCACTGGATAGTTGCCATTTTGTTGAAAACCCCTGGTCTCACCAAGGGCGAGAGCGAGAGTTTGTGCAAATTGCGATGTGATGTGGCCCTTCCTGCTTACTAGTCACTATAATGACTCATGTAATGCGATGCACAAGGAAATAAGTACAGGTTGTGCAAGCAGACATTTTACCGCAGAAAGGTCCCAATATGTTCTAAATGCAGAGTTGACAATTAAGTTATATTAGTTGGCAAAATCGTCTCAAAGTCATGAGAAATATTTTTACTGGAATAAAAGTCTTACACTGTAAACAAGGAGGCTTGTGAATATAATAATGCCATTTCACATCACCAGAAGTTTGGTTGTCTCGTTCTAAATTGCAGGATATGGTGCTGCGCATATCTGGAATTTAGTCTATTTTGTGATATAAACTGGAGCTTGAAATTTACTTTCAACCCACAATGAAATGCACTCAGAAATGCAGATTTTTTCTAACAGGGAAATATAAAAATAGTGTTGCAGTTCCCCTTTGATTAAGATTTTATCTGTTTTTATATTATATGTAAATGAAATGTAATTCTGTAATAATTCCTATAATCAAAGTAAAAAAGTGAGGTAGTATATACATCACTTTCCCCCATTTTCAATGTTGGCTCCCTGTGAAACTAAAAGAATAATACATCCCAAAAGGACCAATACAAGTGGTGCCCGTTATTTGTCGGGGTTAGGGACCAAAAAGTTACAAAATAGAGCAAAATTACATATAAGGGGAAATCTTTTTCTCATAAGAACAAAGTAAATATGGAGGGTTTGGGACCGTAAGAGTCTTTGCCCATGTGATAAAGTGGTAAGCTTTTCTCAAAAAAATAATGAAAGACAGTTGAGTTCGGGACCGTATGTTAGACTGCGCGTGTTTCACTTGCAGCCACCAAATACAGTACACAGAGTCCCGTTATAATTCCAAGTTTTGTTCCTAAATAATGCAACTTATTGCAGTGGTATGTAGGCTGCGTATTTGACACATAAACTAATTTTATTAAAATTAGAAATTATGAAAACCCGTCTCAAGCTTTCTGAAACCGACAAATGAAAAATGTACATCATATTTAATTATTTGATTTTGAATTCCTAATTTTTCAGTGCACACAACAAATTTCCAGTGTCATCTGGTGCACCACCTGGGGGAACCACTGAGAAACACTGACCTATTGTATAAAAATAAATACAAACAGATTTAATTATCTTGTCAAAACCAATAAAGTCTTCTGCAGCTTCAGGTAGATTTTTTCCTTACACTGTTCATGCACTTAAAGTAGAATAGTTGACAGCTGGTTGAATCAGTGAGTGGCATATTGTGTGGTGGTAAGAACACACCATTAAGTATTAGCACATTAATGTTGGGGCATTACAGTTCTTAATCTACTTCATGTGTAACAGCACTGTCTCAAGAAAGTTTCCAAATATTAGATTTTGCTTTTCATTATGTTTTTTTTTTCATTTCTGGAACAAAATAATCCATGAATTACCTATGCTGATGGCTTTTGGAGCCTTGAAAAATGACATAAGATAATTTTTACATTGATTTCCTAAATTCAACAATGAAGTGAGTGCAAAATGACATATTGCACCGCAATTTATAATGGGGACCACCTGTGTACATCTAAGGGATACAATAAGTTTGGCTAATTTACAAAAGTGTGATTCATATTTTTCACTATAACTCAGTAAAATACAAGCCCAAGAACCTCCAGGAAGGAAGGACATTTAGCTCTGGGATTCCAATAAACAGTTCTTGGTCGTCATTTGCTTATGGTTTCCTGCAAAGCCATACATCAAGTCATCCCAATATCTGTGCAAAAATGTATTTAAACATAATCTTTAATTGATTTTGCACATCTTTTAATCACCTCTGATATCAAACATTACTATCATTACTAAATAATTATTTATAATAACAATAATCACAAAATGACATTATTCTGGCCTGTAGATGTCACTTTTGAAGTATTTGTTTTAATACAATTAAGTATTAATTTAAACCAATCTCTTTACAGTGTTCAACAGAAAGTGTTCTTCAGACTGTTCTCAAAACAGCTAAAACTAGAAAAATCTCAATTAAGTTATCTTAAAGCTTTTTTAAGTTGTGGATCTGCATCGTCCTGATGACTTATACATTTCCTAAACTCATACGTTTTATAAGTTTATAGATCCACGTAAAATGTATGCAGGTTTTCAGATTGATATAAAACTCAAGGAAGAGGTATAGTCTTTGTAAGGTCTTAATTAAAAAAAAGTTATTTTTGAAATGCCTCACAGGTGGCCTCAGATCTCGCCAAGAAAAAAAGACAGGAAATGGGAGATCAGAAAAAATAAATCCACTTGCTAATGGTAAAAAAAATCCAATCACCTATCAAATCCAAATCAAATCAGGAATGGAGGATACCCACAGAACGAATCTGGGGTGAAGACTAAATGTCACAAAAAAGAAACAGAAATCCCTTCTCCTGGAGGTTTGGATTATTTGACTTTTGGCAGTTTGTATCAGGTGAGCTACAGATATCAAAATAATATTACAGACTTAAACGCTTTAGAGGTAACAATAATAAAATAATAATTGATCAAAGATGTACATTTGATACAGGTGTGATAGTTGAAAGTATTTTATTACCCCTATACTACATGCAGACAAACATCTACTGAATATAATGTAAAACAGGCTCTAGTCTAAAATCATTTTAACTACTTGTCTTAAAATGATAACAAACAGCATGTACTTTTGAATATTGAAAACACTGGACAGAAACATCTATTATATTTAATTTGTTGTCTTACTGTGGTTAACTATTGATAGTATCAGTATTAACAGTGGCTGACCAGTTTTTAAGACGAGTTTTAATAATAATGAAATTCTAAAGCAAGAAATGGTGACGGAACCAGATATTGTGTTTCACAAAATATGTTAGACATAGGAAAAACTAACCAGAAATATACAATTTAGTCGGTGTTGTATGCTCTTTAAAAGGAAAACAGACCTAGAGGCAGAATCAATCAAGAGTCTCTCTCAGAAGATTTACATACATAGGCATATATAGACATTTTGGCAGCTGTCATATTTTTTAGGCAACCTACTTTTACATTGAGCACTGAAAACCTGTACCTGACAAGTACATAGAACCATTTATAAAGACATTATGCAGCATCCCATGGGTAAAGAGATGGGGGTTCATTGATTTCTACTTACTTTTTATTCTTAATATTTTTGGGCAAGAAAATCAGGAAAAATACATCTTTGGGGAATGAATCAAAAGGAAACAGGCACAATTCCACAGGCTTGTAAAAATAATTTTCACCTATAAAAGGTAAAGTTAAAAATTAATTGTATTCACTAAATAAAAGTGCAGACCTAATAGAAACATTTTGCAAACTACTTTTTTATTGCATAGGGCAGCATTTCTACAGATTTCTGGTGTATACACAAATTACATGGCCTGCATCGTGAAATGTTTAGAAAGATAAGATCTTTGAGGAAATGCGAGCTTTCCTCAATTAAATATTTGACAAAATGCCAAATCAATTTGTTTAAAAAGGAAATTTTAAATTAAATTGGTGCATAACATTGAAGGGTATTATTTATTTTGGCTAATTTTATGTAACTTTAAATTTGTATTGACAACTGACAATGACTTTGAAGTACAATTAAATTAATTATTATTTTCTGTTTCTGTCTTCTTAAATAGACAAAGTAATATGTTTATACATTACTTTTCAATTCTGCAGATTTTCTTATACTGAATATAATATATTTATACTTCAAGTCAATAGGTATGAAATTGAAATATATGTATGAAAATAAAAAATGAAATACATTGTAGAACTAGCTATATACATGCTACAAAGGGATCAAAAGAAGCCATTTTACTGTTGCAAAAAATGTGATCTATAAAAAAATCCACAAGCAAAATGTTTCTTTAAGAATCAAAAGTGCTGAACAAAAGCAGATCTGAGAGCCAAACATAGAAAATTACACAGTAGTTGTGCTTCTGCTTGATTCAATTTGCTCCCTACAGACACTTCAATTTACTCCAGAGAGGCAAAGAGGACTGTCACTGTGGAGCAACACAAAACATTATTAAAATGTGTAAATATGTCTGCTTTCCCCTTGCAACAAATCTGTAAGTAAATCACCTTTCAGAAGTTAAACATTGCTGTGACTGAAACAAGGATGTGAGCATACCGTAAATCCACATACTATTATATATGGATGGCATATATACTGTATATACAGAGCCTATAGTATGTCTACATTCCCTTTCCAGGGTAACATTTTGAGGCCTAACAGCCTGTAATCAACATTAAATTAGATATTTCACTTTAATTTTACCTAGAAAAATGGGTTAGATAAGTTTACACGCCCCTTAGTAACAGCAATTATAAATTAGTTCTGGTGTAACCTATTGCTATCCAAATTGCAAAAGAAGCAAATTAAACTCCACCTATGTTCAACTGTACTGTGATTATTTCAGAATAAAATCAGATGTTCCTGTAGGTCTTCTCTGCTGGGTAGTGCATCTCAAAGTAAAGAGTCAACAGGGGCAACAAGGAGCTATCGAAAGACATTGGTATATTGTTGTGGAAAGACAGGAGGAGATGGATGTAAAAAGATATCAAAGGCCTTAACTATTTCTTGCAGGATGGGCAAGACAATTACTAAAAAGTGGAAGGTGTATCGCACCACCAAGACCCTATCTAGATTAGGCCTTTCCATCTAAACTGGATGACAAAGCAAGAAGGAGACGTATTACAGAGGCTACCAAGAGGCCAACGGCAACTTTGAAAGTGCTACAGGCTGTTATGGTCAAAACTGGTGATAACAATATCCCAGCTACTTAACAGATGTGCCTGTATGGTAGGAGGACAAGAAAGAAGCCACTACTGGAAAAAAACAGCAACCGAGCATTAAAGTGATACTGCAAATCTATGGCAAAATGATTTGTGGTCTGAGAAATTGAACTTTTTAGCCTAAATGCTAAAGTATTATGTTTGTTGCAACACCATCCCAGCTGTGAAGAATGACAATGGCAGCTTCATGTTACTGGGATGTTTTGCATCTGCAAGGATGGGGACACTTCAGGAGAGAAGGGGAAATTAATGCAGAACAAAAAAAGAAAAAAGTCCTGAAGGAAAACCTGCAGCCTTCTGCAAGAAAGATGAAACTGGGACAGAAGTTCACTTTTCAGTATGATAATGACCCAAAGCAACAAACAACACAGCCAAAGCAAAACTGGAGTTACTAAAGAACAAAATGGTAAACCTCCTCAAGTGACTCAGTCAGAGCTTTAACCTCAATCCAACTGAAAATCTGTGAAAGGTTCAAGACCATCAACGGTCCTCTTGCAATCTGAGCTTGAACAATTCTGAAAGAGGAATGGGCAAACACTAGGTGGGCTAAACTGGTGCAGACCTATCCAAAAAGAATTATGGCTCCAATTCAAGCAAAAAAGTGCTTCAGACACTTATTCAGGGGTGTGTACACTTATCCAACCCATTTTTCTACATTTTCTTTTGTAATTACATCAAAACTTATTAAAGTTATAAAAGTAATCAATTCAAAAGCATTAGCAACTGCTTTTCACTTGAAGGTTGCTGTTACAATGTGTAAATACTGATTTAATGCGTTCTGATTTCCGACTGTTAGGCCACAAAATGTTACTTTAGAGAGGGAGTGCAGACTTTCTATAGGCACTAAATGTGTGACGGCACACTGTCAGACATAAACCCACTACATGTGTGTTTCTACTGTATGTATATATAACTCCATGATAAATGGATTGTCATGAAAAAGAGTAATAAATACTGTTGTCATCCTCAACTTTTTTCCACATGGTGTTTTCAAACTTTGGAGTGTGTATTAATGCATGCATGTGATCTGTGATTGATTTGACATTGCCTATACAGTACACTCACCAGATTAGGGCCTTTGATCGTGTGCTGCGACCTTTGGTTTTGCTTTCTTCAGGTGAGCTGGATGCACTTGTTTTATGCGTTTTCTTATGGTGTTCAAGGTAAGCCTTTTTAGCAAAGGCTCTTCCGCACTTATTACACGTGTGAAGAGAAAAGTTTTTTGTGAATTTAACCTCAGTTCCAACTTCAGCTGATTCATGTTTCCTGCTGGATGGAGACCCTGAAATCCCATCATGCTTTGAATTGGCAAGCTTATTTTCCTCTCTTTGGGGACCCCTTCTTACCACAGTGTTAAGAACCACTTCGATGGGCTTCTTTACTGCTCGGCTCTCCAGGTTGGCTGTGATCTTTGCCAAATACCTAGAGGATTTTTTATGCACCACTGTAATGTGTCGGATAACATCCCTCTTGCGACGTGTCTCATATGGACACAGTGGGCACCTATAGAATTTGATGTAGATTTCATTCCCATCCGTGTGCAGGTCAATGTGTTTTGTCAAGTTCTGTTTGGATGTAAACTGGCGCTTGCAAAGCTTGCAGTAGAGCTGCTTGAAATCAAAGCCTACAGAGAGTTTGGGCCTTCTTCCCTTCTGTCCTGTTGTTATTGTTGTGGTAGGGCTAGATGACTTGGGGCTATCACTCTCCTGCTTGATCTTACTCTTCGGAACTGTTGGCGTGCTTTTTTTCTCTATTGCTTGTCCTCCGCCCTTTGTTTCACTTTGAGGAGACTGACTGACAGGTGTGGATTCATTGTGGTGTTCCACTGTATCAGAGGGTTCAGTTTTCACTTTTATTTCTGCGCTACTGGGAGCAGGTGCTGACCCATTCTCCAGCTTGGTCATCTTATGGACTATTCTCATATGTCTCTTCAACATGATTTGCGATGTGTACTTCCTTTTACACAGAAGACACTTGCAGGCTGTGAGGTTGTATTCAGCCTTTGATGATGACTTTGGCCTTCTTCCTGGAGTTCCTGTCATTTTCTGAGGACAGGGACTGGTCTTGAGGGACAGCAGCTGACCAGGTTTTGTGGCAATATCAGGAGTAATGGAATCTCTCCTTAGCCCTCTGTGGACCTCGTCAAAATGTCTCCGAACGTTCGCTTTGGTTGCAAACGATTTTTGGCAAACAGGGCAGCTCCTAGCTGATGGCATCAGTGCACCCCTTGGACGTCCTTTTGTGATAGAAGTCACCCTCTTGGTCTCTGTGGACTTTTTCAACTCCTCCATCTTTTTCTTGTGCACCTTCTTCACGTGGCGTCGAACACTGCGCCTGGAATTAAAGTCCTTCCCACAGAGGCAGCAAGCAACATGAAGCCCGAGTATTTCACCATTTAAACTCTCCTCGTGAGGAAGATCAGGCTCCACTGTTTCCCCTTCAGGTGCCACTTTAACAACATCCTTATTAAGGTCTTCTACAGGAAGAGGCTCCACAGCCTCTTCACTTGGAAGGTCATCAGCTACTTGTTGCTCAGGAACTGGGACTTCCACATTCACAGGAAGACTACTGTACTTCTCGGTTGTCTGGTTCTGGTCCTCTTCTTTTGAGACATACTGGTACACTGCATTTTGATTAGTTTCTATAGGCTCCAGTCTTATAGTGTATTCTTGCTTATCCTGTCTGGGATATATGGCTTCCAAAAGATCTTTTATGGCTTGGCTTTGTTTGTCGTTTGAGGCCACAGAGTCTGGAAGGATATAAATAACGATGTTAGCCTTGCGTAACACCAAAATGAAATGTAAAATGAAGTGTGTGTTTTACATTCTAACATCTTGGTCTAGATAAATCCATACGGCATGAAAGGATTCCCTGCTGATTAAACCTGCTGAGGGTTTCCACCTACAGTATAGAGAGGATGTCTTAATTTACAACAGTCATTACATAATAAAAGGTCAGCTTTGAACAACACTTAGATCGACATGTTGCAAAATCAGCAGGTTAAAAGTGGCAACTAAAACATTTTCTAGTCTTGGGTAATTATTCCAACCCTTGATAAAGATAAAGCGTTGATTAAAGTTATTATCGATTGCTGCACACATGCTAGGAGAGCTAACAGTAAAGTGTCAAGTTAACACACACCTGCTGCTGCCTGTCTGGGCTCAAACTCAGCTCAACAGCATGCAGCAGCTGCACAGACACAGCAGAAACTCTCATGCTCTCTCTCTGAAGATGGAGACAAGCTGAGCTAGTGTGATCACAAATTTAAATCCCCCATCTAGTCTTTCAAATGTGATAATGGAGTGCATAAGGTTGATATACTACTGCATGAATCCTTAGTGTACACCCCCTGCAGTTTGCTTCAGAAAGATAAAACTAGAATAGTTACAACAACGAGACCCTTGAACTGCTCTATACAAAGAGTCTTTTCTTCTCCTCAATAAGAGTCTTAGGTACCACCACACAAACACTGCCGAAGAGAACTTTCAACAAAAAGTGGTTGATAAAAGAATGTCTCAAATTGGCTTCCACTTTCCAAATCAGTCCAGAAGCAGTTTAGATGGGATTTCTGCAAATTTGGGTTTAGAATGCCTATTACGTTAACACCGATTTTCTAATAACAGGTTATTTATGATTGTACATTAAGTAGAAACAAAAAAATTGCATTATGTATAGGGTGTGTGATGGTGCTCTTAAGTAATAAATCTTAAAAAGAGTACAAGCGCTGTATGAACAAATCATAACTTGTGTGTCTTTGGTGCTGCTGTTCAGTCTTCTCTGTTTATACCATTTAGAGCATAAGAACAAAGTATCTAAACAAAAGGAATACATTCAGTTTATTTAGCTTATTAAATGGAATGTGATGGACACAAATTAAAAAGACACACAGTCTTGCTGGTTTGATTCTGGAACAGTATCTATGATTCAGTCCCTTACGGTTTAAAGTGGTAAGCACAGATTTAAATTACAATACACATTAAGAAATTGCTATTGTGTATGATCAGATGTTCCATGATCACAATTCCATAACTGGCCCTTCCAGAACTTGATCCAGCCATAAATCAACTCACCATCCCCCAGAGAGAGACTGGGAAAGCAGTAGAACTCTTTGTGTGTGATCAGGTTGGGCAGGCCTCGGAAGAGACTTCGACACAGTTTGCATTCAAAGATAGTGTCCACTTCCTTCAGTAATATGTGCTTGAGTTGGGCAGTTCCTTAAAACAAACATGTTGCATTACTGAATACTGTAACAAACAGCATTGCAAAAACTTACAGTATTAATAGTAACGCAATCTGAATACCTGATCGAAAACACTCAATGATCTGCTGAATGCCGGACTTTGATGTCTGAAGTTGTTGTTGCAATAAAGGAGGATCCCCTGGCTCCACAATATAAGCTGAAAATACATGAAAAGGATATAATAACAGGATAGCCACTTTACATTATCACCATATAATCAAATTCACTGGCAAGCACACAAGGAACAAGCAAACTGTGTTATGATTGTGTTGCAGAAACCATCCTAATTTAGTCTGTCTGTTCCTAACCAGGATGTCAATGCGCAGAGATCTTTTCTCAATAACAGAAGTCAACCATCTATGCTAAAAATGACCAGATGTTCAATGAAAAAGTATTACACTTCTTACATAGATACTTGAGGGATAAGTGCACAAAGGACAAAGAAGAGCACATTCATTAGTAAAAAAAAAAACTGTACTAAAATATGGTTCTTTGTCATTCAACAATTTGTTTCCAGTCTTGAAAAGAAAGCAACAAATACAAATTTATCTTTATTTAGCTCTTGTGAAAAATCTATTTATGATGATAGGGCTCTCTACACAGTGTATGCGTAAAATAACAAGTTACACAACCTTGCGCATACAGACCTAAATAAACTCCTATTACTAAGCAATAGACTTCACAGTCCAACAAGTTTGGGAAGCTGTAATTCATTAGTGTCAATAAAACTGACAGGTTAACGGATTAACAAATTTAGGCAATTACTGCTGACAGTCTGCCCACCTCCCATAAAGGTCAGCTGCCAGAATTATTGCATCTCATTACACAAAATGTTATCCAAGACTGAGTTAATATGCAGTCCTGGGTAATTTCCCTTTATTTATACACAATGCATTTATGAATTGCATCGCCATGGTACTAGTCCATAATAAAAATGTGTTCGGCATAAATCAACTAATTATTTAAAACAGCATGAAGTTGCATGATGACCACCTAGATATTATCTTTCATGCTTCATTTTACAAGGTGTGCATAATGTGAATTTAATTAAGAGAACAGCTAGACACTACACTGTTCACTTGTATCACTTGATGTGTTACACTTTTCTTTAACTGTTAAAAACTCAATACTAAAACACAGAACCAAATATATATTAAGACACTGTACAATAACTGCAGTTTATTTAAAATGTATATTTTATCCATTAAAAAGAAAAAAAACTAAAATCAGATATATTGCCCAAAGGAGTACATTTCTAAAAACAGGCTCTGGGTTTTGTTGAAGTCCCAGTCAGAGCACAGAAATGTACCAAGCTGTGGCAAGTTATGGCAACTAAACTTTGAGGATAAACTGGCTATGCACAATGTAACTGAAAAAAAAATGTTTACCATTTGAGCTGAATACTCGTAAAGAATACTTTATTTAAGACATGACTGCTGTGTCCTAAATTCTGCCCTGATAGTCTGGGTCTGTGAGTCTGCTTACAGAGTAGCTTGTTAATATTTACAGGCAGGAAAAAAAATCTTAATCTTTAACAGTGATCCACAAGGGATATGTACTATAAATTCTAAACTCATTTTCATTCCTGCGCAAACTAAGTAAGAAACAAGCAAAGCCATAAAGGTCAAAATCAGTTTCCTGTATTACATTTAAAGTGAACAAATATTTTATAAAGGTTTGCCAATCTGGGATGAAAAGTTAAATACAGGCAAAAGGGAGAAGCCTACAATGAGCAGTTAATTGATGGTAGTTACATCATGGCTTGAGCTAGCTTTCTCCTCAGGGTATAAACAGAACATTCTGCATGACTGAAAGAAATTAAAAGCCCCAAGCAACACTTCATTGCTGACTGAAGTGATACATAGTGATCATAAACTCCTCAGATAAAGAAAAACAGTTCAGCACAACAATAATCTGAAGTGCAAAGTCAAGTACATAACACAATTTCTTAAAGAGCAAAAAAGAAGATCAGCGCTGTACTGGCCATGTCTGTCACCTCTCCTGAAGTGTGTTGAAAGGTGAAGCTATCAGGAAGCAAAAAATTCCAAAAAATTCAATGTTGTTTGCAATACAACTGACTATAATAAAACTTAAGTTATTCATGTAACCAAATACAGAAACAGAGACCGTTTGAACAGATTTGTCCATGTATGACAGCCATATTTGAAATAATCCTTTTTACAGTAGTTGTAGTTTTTATAAATCTGTTAATTTAAGAAACATTAAGGATTAGTATTCAAACTAATATTGAACATTCCTTATTTTACTTTAAGCTGTAGTTCATACAAGACGAAGAATACTGTACATCCATTTTACATGAAATACTGTTTATGTTTCCCATTTGTTCAACTGTATTTCCAGATATTTTATATATACATTATTTATCTTTGATATCCAAGTCATGGTGAATCAAAGAATGGAAATCTAAGGACAGCGAGCATAAAAGCTGCAGAGAAACTGAGGAACACATTTCTAGATTCTTTGCTACTTTCACCCTCAGGTTATACATAAAGGAAACCGCAGTCTTATCTCCCCGTGGAACGGGATGATTATGTTGCTGCAGCAGGATGTTTTTATTTGACCTCTTCCACATTTATTTTTTTATGTTTTTCATAAAACAAACAAAAATAAACACCTGTCTCTAAATGCACACATCTCCTTTATCTGCTCATGTGTTAAATGTTCCAATATCCACCCTACAAATGCTAAATTAAACAATGATGATCATGTCTCTGAAGATTTCAGCATGTTTTCATTTGAAATGATCAGCAACTCGTTTAAAGTGGTAGGACAGTCCCTGCATACAATAAATAGCATACTTTAGGAGGTTCTTTGAAAGCAAAATACAACTGGAGCGTCATGTTCAGTAAATGTAAAGTCACTGTATAAAATAGAGGCTATTATTATGTAGAGCTAATTGTATTTTATGTAAACCTCCTTTAACTCACTGAAAAAATACAGCTAAGAAGACCGCTTAGCATGCTTATTTACTTAAGGTATTTCCAGAGAAGAATTGACAGGTATTCTCTTCCACTTTGCTATAGCTGCTTCGGGTGTGATGAAGCTTTACATGTGTTACATTCCTGATGTAATACAGCAATAGACCTTTGTATAAAGCATTTTCTCTCATTGGCAAGGGAATATCAATAACTTTGAAACTTTTTATGTATAAAAATAATTTAACAAAACATTTTTTAAACAAAATTAATTCAACAGAAATGACAAGAATAAATAAAAATTCTAGCACCTACGTTTTTAATGCGTTTTGTCAAACTAAACTAAACTTGCTTTTCTTCATGTTTCATGTTTTTAACACGTCAAAACAAAAAAGTTGACTGTTGAGATAACCTTCCTGTTATGCCCTGAAAGTGTACTAAAATGCAATTCTTTATGTAAAATCTCTACTTAATAACAACAATTGTGCAGAAAAGTGCTTTTCTGGACATTCCACTCAAAGTGCTTTACAGGTAATGGGGACTCCCGTCCACCACCACCAATTTGCAGCATCCAGCTGGATGATGTGACACAACCATAGTGCGCCAGTACACACATCAAACACCAGCTATCACTGTGAGGTAGAGCAGAGTAATGAAGCCAATCCATAGATGGGGATTATTAAGATGCCATGATTGATAAAGGCCAATGGGAAATTTGGCCAGGATGCCAGGGTAACACCCCTACTCTTTTCGAGAAACACCCTGGGATTATTAATGACCACAGAGTGTCAGGACCTCAGTTATACATCTCATCTGAAGTACAGTGCCTTTTTTACAGTATAATGACCCCATCACTATACCGGGGCATTAGGAGCAACACAGACCACGGGGTGAGCGCCCCCTACTGGCCCCACTAACACCTCTTCCAGCAGCAATCGTATTTTTTTCCAGGTCTCCTATCCAGGTACTGACCAGGCTCACACCTGTTTAGCTTCAGCTTTGATATTGAAGCACCCCACTGTTATTTTGAACAGAAAAATATATAAAATTGATGTGTCAATGTGTAATTTGAATCCTTAACCTTCTTTTGCAATTTCTATGGTAATTGTACCTACAATAGCATTTAGGATTACTCTTGGAATAAAAGGGGAAACCAGTCTAATCTACAATATACCTTAATTAGCACATTGACAAACTCCGCACAACCTTCACATGCCCCCAAGGAAAAACATAGAAAAGTATTTCTACTTGGTTTGGTTATGAAACTAGAGGGTATTTTATTACATTTCAAGCATGTAAAATATATATTTTTAATAGGAAGAGCAGCGTCCAAGTTTCTAATTTAAACATAATTGATTTCCACTTCCTGTAGAATGCTCTGAAAATGTTATTGGGTGTCTGGAGAGGGATATACATTATAAATATATATGACAGAACAAGCACAGGAATCTTGATCTGAAACCAGTAATTAGAAAGCAAAGAAAATAGGATGTAAATGCAAATTCTCTAGTCACTGGCAGTACGTCATGCAGACTTCTACAAAAAGAAAACATTAAGAATTTATCAGCTTATAAATGTAATGAATGTGCTCTAATAGAAACAGAAATTAGCCTTTATTTCTGGTTTTTTTCTATCAGAAATAGTCAGTATCTTTCTTATTGTCATATATTTTGTCTCCTGATTAAAATATCATACTGCAACAATGCAGCATGAGTCTGAAAAAATGTGACCTGTTTGAGTTCCTCTCCATCTTGATATGATATTATTACAATCACAAAATGGCAAGAAAATAACCTTCATGTTCAGAGGACTTCTTCGGACAACACCGGTTTTATTTTTTTCTCCTGTTTTATATGAGTAACTAAAGCAAAAACTGCGAGAAGCTGACCAGAACCTGCACACCCTGAAAAAGTAATGATTTATAAACGAGAAATACGATACTGCAGCCCATTACATTCAGAATTAATTCACACATGAAAGGATTCTTTGTATGTCAACATAATTTCAGACATTTCAAAAGACTTTCTGTTTTTTACCACTAACACATCCATCAAAATGAACTTGTGACCTTCATTTTGATGGCTGACGCTATATGACAGGCAAATGATAATATTCTTCTCTTCAGAAGACAAAGGTCTCTTGAGGATTTTGTGTGGGTTGCTGTGGTGTTGCTTAGTGTAATTTTTTTTAAACGTAATGTACATACAATTCAGAACTAAAA